TCGGAAGAGAAACTGGTCATGTATCCTATGCATCCAGTCGGAAAAAAACTGAATACAAAATACAAAAGACAGGAAGAGAATGGGCTACACAGCAAAAATTACTCTGTGAAAATATTAAAATAATTGGAGAAAATAGATTTTTACAAGGATAAATCTGACCAAATGAATTAGTTACAGATTATTCATACAGCTCTCCGTGCCTGAGAGAATTTTATGCCAAAAATCATGGATTTCCCCTCTGCTCTCAAAACACACTTGGTTCATCAGTCTGCCTGATGGAAAGACTGTACATTTGGGTTCCTCACCCTGCCTTGCAGTGATTAGCTTCTAGTCTGCTGAGGATATTCTCTGGGTTCCCTATCCCCAAAGTGCAGAGGAAAGGGGAGAAAGAAACAGGCACAGACCTGCTAATTGGGAGAAGCTTTGAGGGTATGTCTACACTACCACCCTAGTTCGAACTAGGGTGGTTAATGTAGGCAACCGAAGTTGCAAATGAAGCCCGGGATTTGAATTTCCCGGGCTTCATTTGCATCTTGCCGGGCGCCACCATTTTTAAATGTCCGCTAGTTCGGACTCCGTGCCTACGGCTACACGCGGCACGGACTAGGTAGTTCGGATTAGGCTTCCTATTCCGAACTACCATTACTCCTCGTGGAACGAGGTGCTAAACTGCCTGAAAAGCCTCCTGTGCATGTTATGAAGAGAAGCAGTAGCAGTAGAGTTGAGATCAAAGAATCCATGGGTGTCGGTGGGAATCAAAGATTTTTGTGTGCAAAAATTCCCAACTACAGAGGGAACCTTGAGATTTGCTTCTGGATTTTAAACAAATTTTGCCATGCCCATGACCCATCAATAATTTTTCCAAACATTTAATTTGAAAAATAGTCACTGCCCTACTAACAAGGTTAACAATGCACAAAGGAATGGACCCAAGCACATAACCTGACTGTTATGTGTGCAGAATGTATCCACCCATACCCCAGGCACCACCTCTCTCCAAATCGTTGATTTAGGATCCTCCTTCAATTTTATGCCAATGCCACAAATACCTCAAGATGATTTGTGTTTTGTCATTGCTCAGGAGCCTGCTTCACACTCATCAAAGCAATAATCCTGAAAATAAGCATTTTAGTAATAATCATTTTGCCACTCCAATCACTGATTGCTAAAGTCATACACCATCTCTGGACAGCAAAAGGGCTCAAGAAAAGATTATATACCCTGAACTCAGTAGAGGAAAGTATTAATTTAGTGATATCTTTTCTTTCCATTACAGGTTGTACCTCTCTAGTCTGGCACCATTAGGACCTGACCTGTGCCGAACCAGAGATTTTGCTGAGCCATGAGAGGTCAATATCATCTAGCAACATTACCAACACTTGCACTGCTTACTGGGCTTTTAAAAGACATTTGGGGTAAATTAGAGCTAAATAATAGCATAGAACACAGAGCCAGGACTGGTGGTTGTATACAAATTTGATGGGACCACAGGAAACTTGGCCACACCCACAATAAGTGAACATCCAGCTAACTAAAATCATACTGGACCATGGATGTTACCAAACCAGAGAGTGCCGCACTTAACAGGTTCAACCTTTACATGAAATGAATACATATCGAAGAACTAGACCTACTAATAGATTACAAACTAGGGATGTTAAATATCGGTTAATTGAATAGTCGAGTAACCTCATGAATATCGGTTACTCAGCTATTCCCCAGGGGTGGGGCCAGCAGTCAATGCGCTTTAGCCTCACTCCCGAGGAGCCTCCTGCCATCTGCATCAGAGGCAGCAGTGCAGGGTGCCAGGAGGGAGCTGGTCTGCAAGAGGAGCCAGTTTAAAACCGCCTACTCTCGTGGAATGGCTGCCTGCTTTGCTTCCCTGGGCTGCTGCCTCTGATATAGAGGCAGCAGTGCGGGGTAGCAGCAGTACTTGTCTGAGGCGGGGGGAGGAGGGGGTCCTGAGCTCCCAGACCTGGCATGAGCCAGAATTGAGCCGCCTGGCTCCTAATGCACTTTAAATGCAGGGATGCAGCAGGAGTAGGTCTGAGCTGGGCTGCTGGCCAGCCTGCTAAAAAATTTACTGGTGGGGGACGGAGAAATGCATGTAGTCTATAGCATTAACCTATAAGCTTTTGCCTATCTGTTAATCGACTATACTATTATATCCCTATTTCAAACCTGATACTCCGCTTCACCTTGTACAGTCTCTTATTCCAGTACTATGTAGGTATAAAAAGCTACAGATAGTATTTTACATCCACTTTGCACTCCACTGGGTATGTTCACATTTTGTTTTAAAACCCCTGGCAGAGACAGCAGGTATACACTACGGGGACAAGTTGCTCTAAGCTACACCATTTGAGTTATGTTAGTCCCTCTCCCCACCCCACCCTCCAGTGGATCTACCCTGTAGTGGAGACAAGCCCTGAGTCTCTGGGATTATCTAAGCTATGGGGGAATCGATATAAATTACATGACTTCAGCTATATGAATAATATATCTGAAGTTAATGTACTTCATGTACTTATTGTAATGTTTGCACTGCAGTGTGTCACTGGAAGATGTTCTCCTGTAGACTCCCTTTGCACTTGGTATTCCGGTGGAGTTCTGAAGTATATGCTAGAGCAATCAGCAGTCAATTTATCAAGTGTATATTAGAACCCTGGTTGGACTGATCGCTGCCTGTCAACCTGACTGGTTGACAGTGGTCCCCAACGCGGTGCCCGCGGGCGCCATGGCCCCAGGCGCCGGCCCCAGGCGCGTGACACTCACTGGTGCCTGGTGCGCGGCGCTCGGGCGGCCCCAGTCCCGGGGCACATGCGGGCACGCGGCTCCGGCGGCATCGCCGGCCCTGGGCTCATGGCACAAGGCGCTCGGGCGGCCCCGGGGGA